AAAGTACCACACATTTCAGGAAGCCACTTTGCCATTTACAAGCTTTTTCTTCTTTTCTTCAGTTTTTCTCCTCCTCCATTTTATCTCTCTCCTTCTTCTGTCCCATCCCTTCTTTCTTTCATTTTAACAGACAGCAAGGCATCTCCAGCCATGGGAGTGTCATTCACAGAAACCTTTGTACTTATCTTGGTAGGTTCTCTATTAGGGATATGATTTTACTTCTATCCCTATGAACAACAGCTCTTAGTAACTGTTCACACCAAGATGGGGGCAGCTACAGTCTTCCAACTTCACCAAACTTCTCCTTTCTCATGGAATTCTCTTCTGTGACTGTTCTTCTTTTACTAACTTCTAAATTTTGCTACAACTTTTGGTTCCTGATTTATCTCTATTCAGATAATTAAAATCTGGTTTATCTGCATGGAACAAAGTATCTTACAGACAAATACTTCCCACTGTCTTTTTCTTTTTCTTCATTGACATATATAATAAATAAAATAGTGTCAACAAAGTGCAGTCATTTTAAGTGCACAGTTCATGTGACTTCCATTATCAATTGCTTTTACTCATTCTGACTTAGTATAAGGGTGTACTGCTTTATGGAAGTTCATTTACTCAGTATTAATGTCAGAAAATTGTCCGTGTTGGTGTATGCATCAGGGTTCTTCTTCTTTCTAAAAAAACTGTTTTGTAGTATACATTATATAAAAACACAGAATGTATTTATTTTTCTCCTGCTGATAGATTTTTGGATTGTTTCTAGTTTGGGGCTTTTATGAATACAGCTAATCTGAATATTTTTGAATAAATCTTTTGGGGGGATATTCACATTCATTTATCCTGTCTAAAAATCTAAGAATGGAGTAAAGAAGATAGTCATGTCTTTAAATAGTACAGTTTTTCAAGGTATTTTTATCAATTCACACTTCCATCAACAATATAGAACAGTTCTATTTGTTCCATATCTTTACTGCCACTTGATAAATTAAATCTTAATTTTAGATATTCTTTGACTGTATTGTGTCATTGTATCATTGTGTAGCTTCAGAATAAGTCCTCCAACTTGATTGTGTAAATCTTCCAACTTCATTTCTTTTTAGGATTGTCACAGCTATTGTAAACTGTGACATATTACAAGTTTTTTTTTTTTCTCAATGATATGATAACGAATAGTTTCTTGATAATATAACTCATCTTGAAGTCCTCTTTTATAAAGTGCTTATTCAAGTCTTTTGCCCATTTTATTTTGTTTTTAATTATTTTTAATTGATCTGAAGCAGATTTTTATATAATCAAAAAATGAATCCCTTTATAAATGGGTGTATATATACACATATATATCAATAACTAAATTTATATCTATAGTTATATATTTATGTAGAGATCTGTGTATACATATCTATATCTCTATGTCTATCTATATCTGTATCTGTAGATATAGTATATAGGTATATAATATAAATACACACATCCATATATATATACATCTCTATCTCCATCTTTATCTCTGTATCTAGCTAATATCTTCTTTATAAAGCCTTTGAACAGAAGTTTTTAATTTCAATGAAGCTAAAAATATTTTTGTCTTTTTGTTTTCTGTTTAAGAAATAGTTATGTACTTAGTATTTCTGAAAAAAATTTCTCCTATATTTTCTTTCAGATGATTTATTTTTTCAATGTATACATTTACCTATGTGTGCTATCTCAAATGAGGAGAAAGCTCCTTTTTTTCCCCAGAACTGTTCATTTTGCTCCTCCAGTATTTATTGAGCAAAGCGTCTTTCCCCTGCTGATTGCAGTAGTTCCTTTGCTGCAAGTAATGTGATCATTTTTGAGTTCCTTTCTGGACTGTTTTGTTTTGTTGCCTTTTCACGTATACTTTGTATATCTTGATTTCCTAATGACTGTGGCTTTGTAGTAAGTCTTCACCTCTGATGGTGTAAGTCCTCCACATTTGTTCACTGGAGTTATTGTCTTGACTATCCTAGGTACTTGGCATATCCATACCAATTTTACAATCAGCTCATTTATTACCACAAAAAATGTCTGATGATATTTTACTGGAAATTTAATGTCTAATTCCCAAACTTAATAAAACTCTCCATTTACTTATGTCTTTACTGTGACTTAGCAATAATGTGTAGTTTTCTGTTTAAAAGTTTTTCACAACTTTGTTAGATTTATTATAAAACTTAATTTTTTCTTTGCTATTATAAATATTAATTAATTTTCCAATTGTCTGTTACTAGTAGATACAAACACAATTTTTTTCTATACTTATGTAGTATCCAGCAACCTTAATGTATTCACTTATTAATTGTTATAATTTGTTTGAACATTCTTTTGGATGCTTAAGTGTATATAACATTATTTACACATAGCGTTTTACAGTTGTTAAAATCTTCATCTCTTTTTCTTGACTGATTGTACTGGTTAAGACTTCCAGTCCTAAACTGATGAATGTTAGTGGTGACTGTTGATACTTTTGCTTTGTTTGTGGCCCTCAGGGAGAAATCTCAATATTTCATCAGTAAGTATGGTATGAGCTGAAGGATATTTCCATCTAGTTATAGTTTGCTGAGAGTTTTTCAAAAAATCTCATAATAGTGGTGAATGATATCTGTCTTTTTTTGTATCTAATGAGGTGATGTTCTGATTTTCTTCCTGATAAAAGCGAATTGTACGCCTTTTATTATCAAGGCGAACAATCTTTGCTTTCAATTATAGTATTAAGAGCATTTACATTTAATGTAGTTTCTACATAGTTGGGTTAAATGTATGATGTTGGTATTTGGTTTCCATTTGTTCTGCTTGTTCTTTTGTTGTTGTTGTTTGCTGAACATGTATCAGAATGCCCCAGGTTTCTACATTAATAGCCTACATTGGTTTGTTTTCAATGGTACAATCACAGCCCACTGTTTTGGTGTTTCATAATTCATTGAGCTATTTATTAGTTACCATCTAATTCTCCAAATTAGAGATAATGCTGCATTGAAAGTTTTGTAGTCATAACTTTTCTTGTATATTTCATTAGAGCATATTTTCAAGTGAGGAATTATTGATTCAAGGGATAGAAATATCTTCATAATGCTTGATACCATTTGTAGCCTTACTTTCCCTAAAGAATTATTATAATTCAAAAGGTTTTAGCAATGTGAACCTATAATGATTTCATTGCAGTCTTGCTAAAATTGTGAATTCTTTTATAAAATTAAGTTATATAGAACTGAAGGGGTACCAGAATTATGATGACCAATACCATGCTGTGTGTAAATACACAGAAAAACAAGAAAGTTGTTTATGAATACACTGATTTCAGCCACAAAGTTATATTAAAATTTTAAATTGTTCGGCTTTTTTTGCACACACTTGGGCTTTCACAATAACCCCTCATAAATGCTTAAAGAATATAAGAACATATATAAATGCTTAAAGAACATAGTATGTGCTATGTTTTATTTGAATCTAATGAAACCATAATTCACAAATAAAATTAAGGTTTATAGAAGAAGCATAGGGAACATAGGAAGAGAAGGAGAAGATCCAGTTGAAAATATGCTTGAAAGCACAGTGAACAAATGTTTCTGAATCAAATTTCAATTTTGCACGAGTAACCTCAAGACAAAGTGACTGCATCACTAAGCTTAACAAATATTTTCCCCCAGATTAGTGACATTGTTAAGTACTGGTGGACAGGGACTCTCATGATTGTAATTAGTTTATAGTACAATCCAACAGACGTTACCTTATTTGAGCACAACTTCCCTTTAAGGCATATATTTCTAGTTGTTTTTGTAGAGGAATAAAATGGGATCCCTTACAGGTGAAATGGGTTACCTGGGGTCACATAGCTGAAACAGAGAAGAGTAGTGATTCCAACTTACAGCTTCTGGTTCTTATGCCCATGACCTTCCCACCACCCTTAAGGGTCACTTTCAACAACTGTTATTACAGTCTTTATCTACCATAGTGTTATTAGGAAAAGTTAATGAAAGTGGCACATGGGAGATGAAAACTTTGCCCAAGAATGAAGCCAAGAGCTCTGCTGTCCCACAGCATGATCGAAACTAGCATAAAATTCAAGAGGTTTCCTCATCAAACGTGTGATAGAAACTCAATAGAAATCAGTTTCCATGACTTTACAGCTCTGTGATTCAGACATGGGAGTTCAGAGTTAGAAAAAAAGAAAGCAAGCAAGCAGTGGAACCTCAGGCAAAAGACGTCATCCACAGTCAGCATCTCTCAGGGGCTTCAAACTACACTAAAATGTTAAGTTTTGAAACTTGTAAAACAATGCTGTAAAACTTCATTGTAGAAATTAGAAACTATAAATTGGCTTCAAATAACAGAATCTATTTCCCCCGTAAAATCATACTTCAAGTCTACTCAACTTATGACAAATACTTACTAAACTATTACAAAAAGTACAAATATTGCAGCACCTTACTCTCGAGGTAAATAAAGGTAAAACGTGTTTTGAAAGTCTTTCATGTCCATGGGTGATCTCTTAATTTATATCACACTTATAGTAAGCAGTACTTCTACCGATACCTTTAATCATTTAGAGTCATATTTACAAAACAATTCCAAATCTGGATAAGGCTAGATATTGTGTGGATCATATCAGTTATAAATTTATCTTTCTTCAATAAAATAATGCAAACAATTTTAAACATATTTTATGCTTTAAAATGTTTGGTTCAGAACATGAGGTATTTTATAAAAATCCGAGGTGACTCCTATGAATACACTGAAGGAAAAAGAACTGCCTGCTGCTTGCTCCTCCTGGTAATGTTTTCACTTTACAAACCAAGGGAGTAAAAGGAGACCTTTGCTTATTCTATCAGCTGACAGTTGCAAGCAGTCAACCTGACTCGACTATTTGATGCCAAATTTTTCTCCCAACCATCACTCATGCTTCTAAAGTTTGTGTCTGTTGAAACAAATGATGCGTTTATGTGAAAATGGAAAAATAGAATGATGTGTTATTTACCGTCCAGGAGGTGTTTGGCTACAATACCCAGACTCTGCGGAGAGCCGTGAGCCTCGTAGCATCTGTGCTGACTGCGGGGGTCCTTCCGCTGGTGTTCTACTGGAGGCCCGAGTGGAGGGTGTGGGCCAACTGTGTCCCATGCCCTTTGCAAGAAGCAGACACTGTTTTGCTGAGGACAACGGTGTGTGCCCCTTTGTTATGTTTCGAATGCCATGATCGGCACAGAGAGACAGATGCTACATGCCCTCACTTCCATGTGGCACTGTGAAGCTCACAGAAGTAGATCTTACGGAAGTAGAGAGTAGAATATTGTCACCATAGTCTGAGAAGTGTGTGGGGAGTGAGCGACAGAGGGAGGATGGTTAGCTAACAGGTGTAGGCCTGCAGCAGAGTAAGAGGAATAACTTCTAAAGCTCTCCAGCACAGTGGGGTAGCTATGGCTGGTGACAACTGACTATTTCATTGCAGCTTGATGAGAAGATTGTGAATGTTTCCAACACAAAGAAACGATAAACATCACAAGTGTGACCCTTCCACATATACAGCTACTATGTGGCAGTTAAAAATAAAAATACATTTAAAGAAAGAAATGAAAAGCTACAATCATGTCTTCTATACTGCATCTGTGGTCTACTGACTGATGAGCCAGAATTCCTAAGTTTTCCTAGGCCAGACAAAGGAGATGGAAAAACTATCAATGCAACAAGCAAACTGTCTCTTTTCAGCCCAGGAAGGAAGGACACTTCCTTCACTTCAACCCGGGGAAGTTTCTAGTATGTCAGGGTATTGGGCAGTGCTCCTAGCCATTTTATGGGCAGCTGGTGTTAGAGTCACAACTCTTATGCAGTAATATAGGAATAATCATTTGTTGTTTTCAAAAATATGTATTTTGGAGAATATTAAACATTTTGAATAATGAAGTGTTATTTAAAAATAGATAGAAACCCTTTTCTAGACATAAAGCCTTTTCTACAAAGTAGTTTTTTCCTCGATGATTTTATAGCCCAGTGGTTCTCAAATTATTGCTCAAATCAGAATCCTCTGGATTGAAACACAGACCGAGCCCCCACCACCAGAATTTCTGATTCAGTAGGTTTGGGGTGAGGCTGAGAATTTGCATTTCTAGTAAGTTCAAAGATAATGCTGATGTTCTTGCTTGGGAACCACTCACTGGTCTAACATGTGGTAGGTATCTTGTTAATTGAGCACCTTGTGAAATAACACTGGAAAATTTCAAAGGCTGAAATGACTTTTTTAGGACGAATTTCAAAGATACATGAGGAAGAAAGTGCTCTGTCTCTACTTATCCACGCTGAAGTTTCCTATAAGCAAGAACCCGGAAGACACCCTGGTGGCTGACTGCCACTCTGTCATTAACCGAGCCATACTGAAACCAGAATTAAAAGTAAGTGATTGTAAGAGTGCCATGTTATTTCAGAGAAAGAATAAAATAAGTGTTTGTGGATGGAAGCTCTGAATACAATGCTATCAGGCTGGGAATGACAGCTATTACCAAAGAGGGTGAGAGGCACCTAGACCTGCATTGCACAACCCCACTTCAGTGAACTTTTTTGTGAATGACACCTGATGGATCCCATTTGTGATTGCAGCTGCGATGCATCCAAGTGCAGAAAATCAGGTACGTGTGGGATCACCTGGAGAAGCGTTTTCAGAAAGTGGGGTAGGTATGACTTTTGTTATCACTACCTGGGGGTATAAGGGAAGAACACTGGCTTGTTGCGTGTCATGAACTGAAGTGTGGCTCCTGTCCTAACCACATCCTAGGCTGCTGGAAGATAGCAACTCCTGCTATGACATCCACCACACGTTTGGCTTGGGTCTGAGTAGTGAAGAGCAAGAGGTCAGGTAGGATGTACAGTGCCCGTGAGAGTAAACTATGCTGGTAGGAAAATGAAGTACTAAATGTGTCATCCCCCTTGCGTGATTGGCATAATGTTTCATCTCCTTGATAGAATCACAATTCATGTGTGGACTTCTGAGTTTCTGAATTATTTGTTAAAGGGAACTTATTATAAAGAAAAGGCAAGAAGGGAAAGATGGTTAAATACAATTTGATCTTTGCTCCTGGGCTTGTAGAATAGTCTTATTTATTTCTTTCATCCAAAAAATCTTGGATCAAATCATAAATATCAGCCTCTTAATGCTCCACATCGTCTGAGGTCAGAAGGAGCGTAAGGTTGCATTTTCAAAGAACATATAGCCTTGGAGGTGAGGATGTTGTCTGTCAGTCATGTTATTCACCACTGTACCTGGAGCACCTAGAACAGTTCCTGATTCATGACAGGAGCTCAGTAGATATTTGTATGTAAATGAATAAATGAACATATCTGTTGACTTATGAACTATATGCCTTTAATATGTCACACACTTTGTGAGGAACCAGTAATGTAAAAAGAAACACTTAGTCATTGTCCCAGAGACATCCTCTGATGGGTGGTAGAGGGAAAAATAGTGGCACACCTAAGACTGGTACTTGCAGGTTCACATGGATTAGGACATGCTTAACTGACTCACCCACAGTGATAGAGTCCTGCTTCCTTCAACTATGCTTTGACATGGCCAGTCCTGGCGAACCCTTACAAAGCTCACCAGAGGCATAATACTCATTTCTCAGCCAGTTTTAGGGACATTATCTGTATAATCTTCTTAATAGCCAGCCATTCTCAAACTAAGAAGAAATCTGCTACAAATTGGTTTGGAACTCTACCGCCAAAATTCTAAACATTTCTGTAGGAAGAAATGATTACTTCTGAGAGAAAGAACTCTGTGTTTTTAGCAAGCACACCATATTGTTACACAAAACAAGCCTAAGAGTTAACTGATTTGCTGTTTCAAAGTTTTTCCTCTTCTAGAACAGTATAAAAAATGAGCCAGCATCTAGACCAGAACAATGCTGCAAAATGCCTTTGAAATGGTGTCATTATATAAGATTTCAGAAGTAATGCATAATACATTTAAATACAAAAAGTTTTCAAAGTTATTAAAAAATATTGAGTTAACGGCTTTTAGGTACAAGGATTGATCTTAGGCTTTTATGAAATCTCACTGATAGATGTAGGTAACACTCTGCAGAGGAAACCATTTCCCCAGGAAAGCTTGCCCATCAGCGTAGCTACCTCGCATTTGTCCTTATTTATCAAGTGCTGAGCTTTAACAAACATCATACACAATTAAATTGAAATCTGGCCCACACAATAAAGAACTTGACAATCCAATAAGGGAGATAGAGTATGGTTTCCCAAATATGAAAAATAGAGGAGATCAAGGTAATCTCATAAACACAGGCATATTTTGTTTCATAGGGATATCTTAATGGTGGGTGAAAAGAAAGTAAGTAGAATGTGGAGCATTTTCCCCTTCATTTTTTAGGGTAAGACTATAGGATTTTAAAATGAAATCTAAATGTGACTGATGGGTTGGTTAAGTGATAGCTTGCCGATTGCCTAAATGCATGTGAACTTGCTCGTATTAAAAAACAAACAAGTGTGCAACATGAGAAATAAAGGACAGGGATACCCGAGAATCATACATGATGAAAAGCTGCAACATCTAAATGAGGGGAAAATGTAGAGATCTACATAAATCTTAGTAGGGGAGTTAATTTTATCCCAGAAAGATATTTCCAGAAGGCACAAGGAAGAGACCAAGGAAATTGTCCCAGAAGGTTCCATGTCCCAGTCTTCACTTATCTTGAGCTGAACTTAACTTTGTATCTTAGTGTCTCTCCCAGACAGGTTCATAGGCACTCAAAATCTTTTACTTCAAATGAATGGGATCCTATGGACAAATACAGCAAGAGAGTAAAAGAAACGTACCTGATCCTCATCTAGGCAAGCAGTCTTCCTATCAGGACAGTTGAAAATTTGGGCATCCCCTCACCTTTTCCCCTCACCTTTTCTCCTGTCCTTTGGTTCAGCCTCCTGAGAACAGAAGCACATGTCTCTGGCAGCAAATGAGGCAGGCACCCTTACTGACTAGTTACCTGGAAGAAAAAAATTCTACCCTTGGGTGGGTAGAATTTGCTCATCTCTGTGGTGAAAATGCTCTCACCAGGGCTGACTCAGTGCAGCAGTGTTCTGTTGCCCAAGGAGAAGTTGGGCAGAAATGCTCATGGCAGGCTCAGGAATTCTGCAGGGTCAAACTTAGTCTTTAACCTATGCCATGCCACCAAGGAAAAAGGCATGCTTGTCGGTGCCAGAGGAAAAGCACCCGAGTGAGGGGCAAAAAGAGGGTACATTTGCCATCAATGCACAGCTCCAAATGGCAGAAGCTGTTCCATGAGAAAATAGAACATCAAAAGAGAAAGAAGCAAACTTCAGGTGAGAGAGAGGGTTGCAAACACAGTGAGACTCTACTTTCTTACTCCTCAGGTCTCAGGGAAACAAAATTCAGAAGAGAAATCATGCTTACGTACCATGCTCTCTATAACCCTTTGAAAGTTACACTCCTAGAAAACAGAGAGGTATGGGGTTTAGGGACTTGTGAAGTCACACTACAGCACAGCTGTTTGCCCTCTTTTCTTTTCTTTTGGTACCGGGGATTGTGTGCTTGTGAGGCAGGGGTGGTGCCACTGCCCTCTTTTCTTAACACCATCAAACTTCAGTGTCTCCATGGGATGCAGTCAGAAGATCTTAGTGTGAGTTCTCTCTACCTTTTGGAAGCAGTAACTAGTTGGAAAAGCATGGCGCGGAAAGTAGATGAACTTGGGCTCAGCTCTCTGGTCTACCTCAGTGCCACCCAAGATCCCTCATGCAGATTCTCCCCCTGGGACTGGCTGAGGTGGAGTTGTGCAGTAGAATCACAGAGACCATGTTAGGAAGCCTGGCACTGTCTCTTTCTAGTTCTGAATCCTGGGACCGTTACTTAATTTATCTGAACTTCAATTTTCTTTACAATAGGGGATAATAGAAAACCTCAGAGGATAATAAAATGATTAAAGAAGTGAATGCATATAAAAGGCTAAATGCACTTTTGGACACCACCTAAAACTTGTACTGTTGCGATTAACAGTAGCTGTGAACCTCTGTGACTGAGCACCCACCCTAAACAAGTTTCTCCATTGGCAAAATGGGGACATGAAGCTTTCCTATGGACTACCATGAGGATCAAATGACACTTGCAAGAATTTAATAAATTGTAAATTATGATATAAACTCGAAGACTTCTTTTTGTAATGTACACACGACTATACCTTGTAGGTAATGTATACACTGACAAGGTGGAGACTATATGTCCTATTTCAGTACCTCTGCTCCTTCATTCAGTTCGCATGCTAAGGGCCTGACCTAGGTGCTGGAGATACTGAGGCAAGACAGACATGATCCTTAGCATCAAGAGTGAGCTATGTGCTGGACAAGTCTAGGAGTACCCTCATATCTGTGTCTTTTTCAGTTGCTCTTAAAATGTAATCATATTATTTTAAAGAATAACTAAAAATGTTGTTATAACTTTGTTTTGACCCTTTGAGTTGTGCCAAAAACATTTTAAACTAATACATATTTTTACCATCTTTTATTAGTACATGTTTATAGTACATAATGTTTACATTCCCTGTGGGGAGTTGGTATATGTACACGATACATCTGATGACAGAAAAACAACTTTGTTCGTCATGAGCTGACTTTCATTTTAAAAATATATTAGTTGGTTTGTGTTTCAAAAGTACCTGCAAACTGTGTTTTGTTTACTTGAAGCCACAATGTCTCTAAAGAGCAGAAGTGGCTTGTGGCCTGCCTGGTGGTCACTAGCCAGAGCTGTAGGTGTGACACTCACAGCCGATTCATCTTCTACAGAAGACTCGTGTGTGGGCCCAACGCCATCGAGGTTGAAATCCAGCCCATATGGAAGCTGCTCGTTAAACAGGTAACTAGCTGTTTTCTTTGTCTTTTGAAAAAATAATTTTCTTCCTTTACTTTTAATTTCCTAGTACACAGAGGAAACTTAAGCAGCACATAAATACTTTAATGTGAATGAAATCTGCTTTTAATGCAACTTCTTTTTGTTACTGGTACCTTGACTCCATTTTTCTTGTCTATTAAGGTTCTTTTTTTCTGATTGATGGTCCTTTCCAGCAACCACTTATCTGAAATTCCAATCCACTTTAAAATCTTTTCCCAATTTCAGTGTTCCTCTTCACTGGAATAAAATACCCTGCACTCACAACTTACAGAGGGAGCGGTTTATTTTGGCTCACAGTTTGTAGAGGTTTCAGTTAGTGGTGGGCTGGCTCCAAGACAGGACAGCAAGGTGGGGGGCACAGAGACTTGGAAGCGTAGAGTGAGGGAGGATGGAAGGAGGGGGCAGACCCTCTTAGGCCATGCCCCAGTCTGAAACCCACCTCCTCCGACCAGGTTCCACCTCCCAGTATCACATTTAGCTCTCAACTCATCCGGGGAACGAATCCACTGACAAGAATCACCCCCCATGACCCCGTCAACTCCCCAAAGCCCACCATGATCACCTGAGGCTTCAGTGGGTCATCTAGATGTAAACAATAAGAGTGAGAGATAAATTTCAGTTCTAGAATCTCCTGTTTGTTCTGTTTTTGGTTTTGCTGATGGTGGTAGTAGGATGTCTTCTCTCCGGCTACTATGACAAAATAGCATAGATTGGGGAACTTCAAAAGAAAACCTTCATTTCTCACAGTTTTGGAAACTGGAACATCCAGGATCAAGGTGTCTGCACGGTCAGTTCCTGGTGAGGGCTTTTGCTGGCTTCAGACCACCACCTTCCTACGGTGTCCTCTCAAGGGAAGAGAGAGGTCTGGTCTCTTCCTCCTCTTGTAAGGATCATCATGGGGGCCCTGACCTTTTGATTTCACATAAACCCAATTCCCTCCCAAAGTCCCTGCCTCCAAATACTAACACACTGGAGAGGAAGGCTTCAACATATCAGTTGGGAAGGGGGCACAACACTGGGGCAACGTTATTACTTCTATGACTTTGGAGGATTTGAAATGTTATTATTTTGGTCTTTTCCAAATTGCCCTATTATCTATTTTCTTGAGAGTGTCTTCTTTTGTTAGTAGTTTTTAAAAAACAATATCTTTGTATGTGCTTTGATGTTATTATTTTTGTAATCTCATCCAATTAGGACATTTTCTCTCCCCCATTCCCTCTTCCTCCCTGAGCCTGATATCCTCTTTGATGGCTCTGTGTTTGTCTCCAGCCTGTCCCCACGGGGTCCCTGGTTCAGAATCAGGTCTGTATTGGAGGTGTGAGTCGCCTCCTCTACTAGTCAGATGGGGGCATGTGCCAGCTTGGGCCTTGACCATTCCATTGTTGTACCACGCTGTTGTACCACAGCTCTGTTTTCTCCCATTCTACCCTTAGCTACTGAGCCATCCCTGAATGCAGAATCTCCAAGCCATACACGGTGGGAAGGAAGCCTGCTAACCTCTGTTTATTACCACAGGCCTAGTTTCTGTCTCTCATCCCTTGTGGATCACATTTGGTCTCTGTTGCCTCTGGAACTGAGCTCCACCTGCCACTGTCTAGCTCTTTCTTAGAAGTCACTGGGCAGGTAATTTTAGTCCCCAACAAATGCTGTAGATTTTTAGTCTAATCTGTGAAGATGATCATTTTGTTTTGGAGCATGGCTATATCATTCTAGTATAAAAATTTTTTATCCTCTGGTGTTCTGTCTAGAGCAAAAGCAATGCTACTGTTTTTTAACTTCATTTTTTAGAGTAGTTTTAGGTTTCCAGCAAAATGGAGTAGAAGGTACAGAAGCTTTCTGTTTACCAATATCCACCCCTATATACCTACAGCTTCCCCAGCTATCCAAAAGAGGCTGCTCTTTAGACTTCGTATTCAAGTACATTGTCAAACTGCTAAAGATTCTTATAGGTGTCAATTTGATCTATTTGAAAGGAGTGTTAGTGTTTTCTATCACCCATGTATTAGCCTCTTTAGAAGAAAAAAAGATAGTAAAACTCCTTCTTCACATTTTGGCTTCTAAAGAATATTGGATAAGAAGGTAATTAATTATGATGTTGCTATTTCTTCTACAGAAAGAATTTAACCAAATTTCTACTAGATTTGTATAAACACAAAATCACGTTACCATTACCGCACAATCTACAATTAGAGGGTTTTATGCCAAGTAAACACAAGATCTGTTATTTGTAAGTAGAACAGTTTAGATGCAAATAATAAGAAACATTAAGAAACAAAAGCTTTTTAAACTTACAAAATATATCCACAGATTCAAGAAACTCTTAAGATAACAGCCTATTAACCTATTTCCCAGATGTCATTTGCTTTGGGGACTAAAGTAAAATTGTATTTGTTATATTAGGGAATTATAGAAAGTGGAGGTAAGAAAGAGAATCATTTGTTTTAGCTAACATTTCATCTCATTTATAAAAATAAGAGGCATTCCCCCAAGAAAAGAATCTTTTCTCTGTTTCAATGGGCCCCTTAATTTTCATTCTGGCTGTACCTCATTTGACCTTTCTCTAGTTCCTTACATTTGTCTTCTCTGCTATAATTACCAGTAGAAGACCACTAAGACCGAGATGGAGAATTGAGGGAATGAAAAATTGAAAGTATTACCAAGAAACCAAAAATGTGCACACATGGTTGGTCATCTGTGGGTCTTAGTGACACTGTCTGCCTGTGACTGCCCTGCAGCCTTTGGTAGAACATTGCTTTAAGGACCATCTTTGTTCAAGGAACCAGATGCCCCTCAGACAATCTTGCTACACCTGTGACTTTAAAGAATATGTCACTTTAAAGTGATCTGGATAAGAGTAGAATCTTTCATTTTTATTACACAACTTGACTAAATCTGCAGCATATAATTACATGAAACAATGTAATAAAATGTTCAAAAATCAAAGTTCATTTTTAAAAGAAACTGAATCATGTTTCTCCTCCATGATAGAAAAATCTCTTTAGAAAACTAAACCATTAGATTTTGGTACTGATAAATATTTTTGAAAAGTCAAAATACGTAAGAATTATCAAATCGTAGGCATGGCTCTGAGTAGTAAAAATAATTATGTCTCCTTCATGTTATATTCTATGTGCCTGACATTGTCTCTGCTCAAATTAGTGGAGTTCTAAGTAAATTCTTCAATATTCAAGGTTATTGTATATTAAAAATGGGAAAAAACATTTTGTGAGTAAATTATACCAGACTGCTACTGAAGTCTATAGAAAGTGACTCAAGTGCTATTTTTGTATCTGCAGGTTTTAAATCCATTCTATGTATTCCAAGCCTTCACCCTAACTCTGTGGCTGTCTCAGGGTTACGTAGAATACTCTGTGGCTATCATCATTTTGACCATTATCTCCATTGTCTTAAGTGTGTATGATTTGAGACAGGTAAGCGACAACAGTACGGTTGGATCTTGTTTAGCTTCCAGATAAAGAAACAAAAGCTTTAGAATTTCCAAAGAGAGCAAGGAGTTGCTTTGTCAAACAAAAGCTGTAACAGAACAATAAGCAAAGTCTTATGAAATGTAGAATCTCAGTAAGAGGACTGATGAAGACTTCATGGAATAGGGTGCGTAGAAAGACTGAGGCTGTGTGAGTGTGCTGGGAAGAATGCTGTGATGGATTCATGGTGTTAGCTGTGGTTTTCGGAGAATGGGAAGTAGGAGCATCTCAGTTGTGGGTATTAATCAAGACACGTCCCTTAGAGTGACTTGTCGGCCGATGCCTCCACTTAAATACTCTATTTGTTCTACACATCTACCATCTAAATATTTATGAAAATTTAAGTCTTTCCTTAAGATTCCCTTATAATGTCTATTTTTTCATTTGGAATGAAGATTTACCTTCATTCAGAATGCAGAAAAATTTAAAAGAAATAGAGGAATTTCTATGTGGGAGTTTGAGGAAGGTTTATAGAATAAATTCGTTTTGATTCTCAACTCTGTGTGGGACAGTGTGTCAGCACAAGAATTGCATGAAATTTCTGGGCTTCTGACCTATTAAATAAAAATATCCAGGTAATAACAGGGACCTATAGTTTTAACAGATTCATAACAGGTGATTGTTATGCACTGCAAAGGCTTAAAAATTATTGTTATAGGGGAATCTGCAGAAATATAAATTCAAACACCAAGATTGTAAATATATGTATTTGTTTACTTGTTTATCAGTGTCATCATTAGGTGCACACATTTTTTTCACTTTTTCTTCTCTATTAGGTGCATATATAATACCTGTTTATATGGAGATTTATATACTTATTAATTTTTAAATTAAAAGAGAACTTTATTATGCATGTAATTAGGCCATTTTATTTTTACTTTACTATATCTATATATAAAATAGCAATCAACCAACTATATAAATCATTCTAAATCCTGTCATACATTTCATGATGTATCATATATTATTCAACCATTCTTTTATTTATTGGAAATAATATTATTTTCCTCCAGTTTTCCAATCACAAATAATGTTGAATTAAACATAACTACAATGTAGGTATATGCTTGCATATTAGTATTTGCATTTTTTAGCCTAGCAACCAAAAGCCAGGTTGCTGGATAAAAGGATAGATATAATTTGAATTTTAATAGATCCTGTTATATAATTTTCTCCCAGTGAAATAATTCCTTCTGTCAGCAACACACAAGAGTATAATTTCCTCAGCTCCTCAGCAGCACTTGCTGTTATATAGTATTGATATTTAAAATTTTTACTTTAAAAGATTTTTAAAAATCTGATGTTTTAATGTATACTTCCCTGATTACTACTGAATGTTGACCTATTTCCATTTGAGTTAAAATTTTTCTTTTTATTAATGGGCTTTTTATATACACTATATATGTGAAAAGTTTTATTTTTAGTCTATCTTTTTCCTCTTGATTGTAACTTTTGCTGTACATTAACAGTTATGTACAGTTAAATGTGTTTCTCTTTTCCTTCATGGTTTCTGGGTTTCCTGTTTTGTATAAAAAGGTGTCCCTTCCAAACTTAGGTGATTTCAGGTTTTTCCACTTGTAATTTGCTTAACATTTATTGTAAAATCCTTAATGGAATTTAGACATTCAAGTTCTGTATCTTAACTGAACCCCTAAATTCCTTTGCCAAAAATAATGAGTAACATGGGAACTTTAGACTTGGTGACCATATTGGGAAGAATTTCTTTTAGAGAAAGAAAAGGAATTAGAAAAGACACTAATCTCATTAGCAGCTGGTATTTGTTTTAAAAGGTCATCTGACCCAACCTGTAAGGCTTCCATACAAAATGTGCCAGTTTCCTGAAACTGTATCTTTGCAGCTGCACACTTCCATGATGGGGGCATGATTTATACGTCTTGCTGCTGGGCGGCTTGAACCACCATTGGCACATGCATAACTGTACCATGTGTAACTGCAGCACTTCTACTACCAAAGGTAGAAGCTGCCCAATGGGACAGTCATGAATGTACCCCAGTGGTACAAACCAGTGGGAACATGTTAAATTATAAATCCTCAACAATCAATACCTGTTTAGTACTTTACACTTTACAATAGGACCCCACATCCTCAGTGTATGTGTTTGCATGGGCATGACAACTTGTAAAATGAAACACATACAATTGTTATGTCCTCCTTCAACCTGAGAAGGAAGGACAGGGACCAAAGGGAGGTGAATTGACTTGCTCTCATACCATCTAACAGTGGCCATAGACCTGAGCCCCAGGTTTTCTGCTTCCAAATCAAGTATTTCTCATGGTTATGTTGAGCACATCCTCAAAGTGATCCCCACACCTGGTTGGGACAGTAAGATTTGGGGGAAGGAAGTTGGTGGGAATGAAAGGAGGAACATCTGTTTCCACCTCCAAATCATTTTATTGAGATCTGGGTACAATGGCACCTACCTGCAAGCACAACTACTTGGGAGGCTAGGGCAGTAGGATCACAAGTTCAAGGCTAGCCTGAGCAGCTGCTTTAGACTCTATCTCAAAATAAAATTTAAAAAGACTGGAGATGCATCTCAGCACTCAGTGAACACTTACCCAGCATGTGCAAGGCCCTGAGTTTAATCCTCAGTAGTGAAAAACTTTTCTATCGAGTTATATTGAAATTCATCATTTCATGGAATTAAAGATTTAGCTAAACCAACACAGGCTTTTAAAAATTGTAAGAGAGGATATGTTTGCAGAACAAACCATCCTGCACCTACTCTAGCAGCAAATCATGCTGCACGGAGTTGACCTTGCCTAAGGCACTCACACTCTTGCTGCCTCCCTCAAGAGCAAGCTGTGTCTCTCAAGGGTGTTGACGTTGAACACTATTTCCAGACTCTGTGCCTGGGTCTACCACAGTGGCTGTTAGAGCTGGCACCTAGCGTCCCTGGTCCACAGTGTTTTGCCTTCACTCAGGACTGCACTGTGCTCCAGCGACACCTGAGTTAATGCTCTCGTTACTCATCTCTGGAGAAAATCCAGCCACAGCAGACCCAAGCACACCAAGCAACAGATACTGCATAATAGCATATGGAAATTAGTCTTGTAAACCAATCCCGGTCCCATTGGAGAGGGACTGGAGAAACCAGAGGGAGTCTAATGAAAATCAGGCAACGAGTTTTGCAGTCATGGCAAGCGTCACAGGACTTGCCTGTTCCTGGCTGGTTGGTTGCCATAGAAACCTGCACTTGTAGAGTTTCTGAGTACATTAGCTCAAAGAGGACACTTACATTACCCTACTCCAGCATTGTTGGGAGAAGTACAATAACTTAGTTCTGTTAGGTGCATATTTGCTGAGGGCCTACTATGTGATAGACTCAAGGATGAACACATAGATCCTTTCTTCTGTGGACTTTCTGCCTCAGCTGACAACAGATAGCTCTAATGGAACAGGATCAGTTCACCAGCCCACGTGGAGACACAGGGAGAAGAACAATGCACTCTTCCTGCAGAAGGTGAGGACTGTGGGGTGGAGATGACACTGAAGCAGGGCTTTATGTGAAGGATTAGAAAGAGTTTGCTAGGAGAAAACTGGGCTGAACATTCTGGGGAATAGACAGAGCAAAGGCATGGGAGCATGGCAGGTTACACAGAATGCTAAGTCTGATAAACAAATCCAGCTCTACAGCATAATGAGGTCTGAGAATTACTGTCAAGCATTATTAACTCATACTTCCCCACTTCCAAATGGGTGGATTATCATCCTCTTCAGCTAGGCTAAAGTTATCATGGCATTGACGAAAAGTGTTTGGTGAGCAAGAAAATAATTGAAAGGAGGGAGGATGTTTATTCTCTAAAGAAAAATGATGTTTTCAAGCACCAGAAGAATACACTCATCAACAGAAAATGCTTTTGAGTCAGATGAGCCTTGGTTTGTTTGTAATCTTAATAAGTAAATGATGTGGGAAAGTCACTGGAACATTTTCAACCCTGGGTATACATTGGTGTTTTTGTTTTTTGTTTTTTATATAAGTGTTGGAGAGACAACATTGTCATAAACTCTTGTTGAGATTAAAAAATACAAACAGTTTATTCCAAGTGCCTAAAACAGTGCTTAGCATGTAGTAGTCATGTAATGCTTTTCAACTATTGTAAAAAATGATAGTTTGAGTGATTTTCATGCCTTGTGTGTTTCTTCTGTGGTCTTGAGGGTTTCTGATAAGGCTCTGATATGTAAAATAAATCGGTATGATATAATTCTAGAGCTTGAAGGCAATTTGGAATTGATTCAGTTCAATGTAATCTATCTGTGTACAGAGGAAAAACTAGCTTGTAAGATGAGATTTCCTAGGTACTGCAATTGGCTGGTTAGTGGGTAGGACAAACCTACAATTCAGGAATTGGGGGTGATTCTAGTGTTCTTGCTATAGATCCACAGCTGATGGTCTCACTATTACCCATCATTTAAATGCATGCTCAAGCAGCCAAACCTCAGGAATACAATTAAGGACAATGAATCTCTACCCAAAGATGACATTACTTCTTCCACTCAATTGATCCTAGTTGGCAAAGTTTAACTTTTCATGGAAAACTAAAGGGAATAATAATTTTTTCCATATACATATTAACACTGAATTCATTATGTTCTCTCAACTAGAAAGTTGCATAATTATCTGTAATGCTTGTCTCAGCCTGGTGACATTTGTAACATTAAAACTCATCAACAGAACAGGTCAAAATGATTTAATATCTAAAAGAAAAAGAACTTCTATATTTGGCTTAGGTTAAGCTGCATTTGAGTGCTGCTGACAGTGTTCTAACCTATTCTACCTAGGGCTGTCCCAGTCCCTGCATTCAAACAAAAGGGGCAGTGCTGTCGCAAAGGCTCAGCCCTGTCCCAGCTGGCTCAGCAGCAGCCTCTCTCTGGCTGACGATGGCCCCCAGTCAGTATGGAGAGGTCCATGGGTGAAATCCCTCTCTCCCCTGCTTCCTGCTTTCTGAATTGTCCTAGGAGATGGTGCATCCACTTCCCCGGCCCCCTCCATTGTCCCCTTTGCGTAGAGCCTTATTTCAGTAAATTCTACTTCAAGCAAGTCTTCCTGGTAGATCTGTGCTCACAACTGTTTTTCTATCAGCAAATTTCTTACTCACCAATGTTCACAAGCTCTCAGCACAGTACTAAGTTCTGAACAAAGAAAGGATTTTATGAGAATTAATTAACTTAATAAAGCCCTATAAAATATAAACTTATCATTATCCCTCTCAGATAGGCAAAGAGGAATTAAACAAACCAAATAGCCTATAAGTGGTCGCACTAGGATTCAAAACAGCAGCAAGACTCCAGCCTGCAGATTCATGCAACCTGCAAATGCACAGTTGGTAGCACAGGGGATGGTTGTGCCTCATGCAACGAAAACACAAATGAAACAGCCACAGGCTCTTAGTGACAGAAAGCTACTCATGGGCCAATTTAGCTTGGTTATTTTGCACACAGGGAAACAGGCATTATGCACCCTCAAGAAGTGAACCCTTGGTATGTCAGTTTCCGTCCTTCTGACAGTGACGGTGTGCTGTTTCTCCTGGGTGTGAAATAACATCCAACTCAGGAATGCAATTGCTTCTCCAAGTGGTGGGCCAGATAGCCAGGGGTTGAGGCAGGTAAGCTGGAGTATCAAAAGTAGAAGTGCTTGAATCCTTTGCCCAGAGTGGTTTGGCTCTGGCAGTGGGCGTGTATGGCTGTATGGAGACAACGTGGTTTTAGGGTGTGGAGTGTCTGATATTGAAATCTTGACTTTACTTTGGCAGCAATCAGTTAAGCTGCACAGGCTCGTGGAAGATCACAACAAAGTCCAGGTTACCATCATGGTAAAAGACAAAGGTAAGTGATATGTTCTGCCTCTTCAGCATCTTACCACTTCAGAGTGGGATCCTTCGTGTTTGTTCTTGATTATTAGTCAAAGAGAAACAGTCTTTTCTGATTGAACCCAGGACTCAGACTAGCATGAGACAATTATGGCACCTGAGACATGAAACGCAAGGAGGCGAGTCTGTGCAAAAGCTGCTCCTGCTTCTGCAAGGCCTGGGAGCCTCTCAGTCCCCTCATGTGCCTCTGTCTTGGCTCAGCCCCATGGAGCCATTGCTACCCAATGTCTGGGTTACTTCAGATTCCCTCTGCCCTCCGTATTTCATTTACTTGGCAATTACTGAGTAAGCTTTTCTCCACTAACTAATCCAAAGACTCTGCAGCTAGAAAGTAGCTCCAAATGGGGCTTTTAAATGCTGGCTGACACTTCACATTGGCTCTCAGCCAGCTTGGAATGGAATAGCCACTGACTTTTTCAAGAAATGAAGAGCTGCCCTGGAGAACAGCATATAACACAGCAGATAACAGCTTACACGAGGTCCCAGTCTACTGAGGCAAAGGGGCCAGGGATCGGGCACAGGTGAAGAGCAAACAGCAGCCAGGGGCACTTCTCCTCCCACCAGTACCCTTGAGTATTCACTGTGGGTCGAACACAGACCTGGTACCAGACTCAAAATAGAATTTTGTTGCTGAGCTAATCCTTTGCTGTGTTCCAGGTACCTATTCCCTATTCCTGTTTCTCTTGGAATTTTCAGAGGAGTAGAAGGGGGTTTGAGCACGTAAACAGGTAGGGTAACCCTTAGCCAGCAGGTTGATAGGTGTCCTTAGTCCCCTTAGCTCTTATGTAGAAACAAGAAGATTGGCTAGTCATAGAAATTCTGCTATTACACAGGTTTGCAGGAGCTGGAATCCCGCCTCTTGGTTCCTGGGGATATTCTTATTCTTCCAGGGAAATTGTCACTGCCATGTGATGCTGTTCTGATTGACGGGAGCTGTGTGGTGAACGAAGGCATGCTCACAGGTAAGCACTTGTCACAGTACTTCCTCCTCCATGTCCAATATCGAAGCTACATGTTAGCAAATCATACCAACATAAACTTACTGACCTAGTACCAGGCCCCTGCTAAGACATGGAGAGTTAGATGAGAGAGACACACCCAGACTTTCATTGACATAGAGACACACTATACATGAGCAGGCAGTGTTCAATAGTAGGGTAATTAAGCCAGAATAAATACAAAACTATAAGAAACATTTAATACCATATATGACTAATTGTCCAACGTGTAGGATGAATAGGGTAAGTGGAAAGGGCTTGAACAGGCAAGCACATTGAAACAATCTTTTCATAAATAGGAGAACTGTTTATACCCATATCCAACCATAATACAACTTAAAAAGCCAGCAATTCCCACATTTGGAAGAGTGTAGAGATTTTATTCAGATCTGTACTCCATGGATAGAAAACTAGGTTTCACTGAAAAGTTTGTGTTGAACTTTAAGGCATAGACAGTACCAGCTCCATTCTCCTTTGAATTTGTATCTGCAATTGTTCTCACTGTGCAGAAAACTGATCTTCCAGTTATAGCTAGCATTGTCCTAGTTTTCATTTGTAGTTTGTAAAGTCTCATTGTGTTTATGTAAGGCACTATTTATAAAATGTTCTTTAGGTACAGAAACCCCACAAAACACAGCATATTGTAATAAAAGAGCCTATATGGCAACACAGAGATTAAAAACTATTTGTCTTTTGTGCTTACAGATTGTTGAGTTTTTCTATTTTTCAAATGATATAAAGTCAGGGAGCAAAGACATACACAAAGCTTTAACACAACCTAAATGTAATGAAAGTTCATTATCTATTCCTGAATTGTTCGGCATAAGCAGATTTCATGTTAAAAATGGATCTGCTTAATTTAAAATCGAGACAAGAAAATGTGGTAAACATAAATATGTTTAGTATAATTACAAAATATCCCTTAAATGTGTTGAAATCTAACTGCCTTATAATGACAGTGATGAGGATTTGCACACTGATCACATCTTTTATCCAGAATGTTGCCATGGTACCAACGTGTAAGCCTCAAGCTCGAGAAAAACTGTCCTTCTCAGTCACATGCAGCAACTGTCTCCTGTCTCCCGCAGCCGCTGGTGCAGAATGGCTTCTCTCGCTGGCAGCGGAACACACAGGAGCAATGGGAAAACAGGGCAGGAAAGACAGAAAGGCTTCAGTCCTCAGTCTGTTCCTTTTCCTCTCTCTGACTGGGGTCAATGTACAGTCCCTTCCCTGATTCTTAGGAAAAGTCAGAGAGTCCCAAAGAATCAGTAATAGTAAATAATGCTGCCTTTCAACAAATGTACAAAACTGACCTAAAAAGATCTTAAGTGGAAAGTGTCTTTTTCTGATGTCCATTTCTGGAAAAATTAAAGTCACCAGCACTAAACTAATATCTATGTGACCAAAGTAAATTGTGGAGATGGACATATTAAATAGAATATATACATATATATGTATTTCTTCAAAAAATCTAATTCCCAGCATGCTTTAAATACTTTATTGCATCGACTACATAGATCCTTCTACTAAGGCACATAATACTGGCACAAAGGATCCTGGTTGAACAATCAAAAGATTAGGGTTAGATTTCTGAAACTATAAATGTCCTGGGATAATTATCCCCAAATATGATTTCAGATCTATTTTTCCATGTGCAAAATAGTCCTTTGCATCTACAGAAATTCTTATTTATATAAGAACAAAAATAGTAAATACTCCTAGCACCTCTGTAGCAACTTATGGTTTTTAAATAACCTTCCCTTCTGACTTTTTCATGGCACAAAGCTAATTAGAGTAAGAGCCACTCTAATACCAATTTATACATGAGGTTGCAGTTGCAGTGAAAGAGACCCAAGTTGCTCAGCAGGTGAGTGAGAATCAGAAGTGAAGACGGTGTTTGTTCCAAACATGCAGGACACAGGAGTGAGGAAGAGGATTCCAAAGGTGCAGAGGCTGCCTTCACCACTGGACCTCATCACTTCCCCACTCTATGTGGCATTCCCACAGCGCCACCTATTGCTGGGACCTTCCTTCTGCTTTGTCCCACTGCCATAAACGCCTATGCAATAGGCTCAGCTTTATTTTAAAATTACATGAAATTTTTATTTTCTTTCCAAATGTTCGCATTCTGGAAAGTGTCCAATGGGAATACCTGGGGTACCAGATAGTCCTCCCAGCATATTGGCAGTCTTTCCAATCCTTGTTCCCTAGCCTAGGTTGTATAGGGCATGGAGAAGGGGAACGTGCTTTTGGGTATCTCCCCTGTAGGTGTTCCTGCTCTACCCTAACTGCCTGAGGCCTACCACTTGGAAAGACCCAGGTCTTTTCATCTGTGTTTCCAAAACTTGATCGCATGTCTCCTCATCATACCGTTCTTAGAGACACACATCATGTAAGTCTCCTCTGGATTCTCTTCCAACTCCAGTCCAGGGTCTTTAATTGAGGTAGAGATGCAGTAGAGGGAAGGCATTACCCTTAGGTAGCCCCTCAAATCCATGGTCTCATTTATGAATGACTTTTAAAACTCAAAAGCCAGTCAGTCATCCACTCCCCTGTCCATTTTTTCTGCCTCCTTTCCTGAGACAATGATCCTATTCAAGATCTTGAGCCACTCACAGAGGAGAAGTCAAGAATCAACAGTGACTGTCATGTGGCGGAGACTCTATTAATATTTTACAATTGCTTCTTGGCACAATAGCTATTTTCTCTTAGTTTTCCTATATATTCAGCTTTGTACCCACATTTTATATGTTATGTATGCAATCTGCATTTTTGTTAAGGTGTGGAAATCTGAGACCCAGAGAGGGTAAATAATTTGCTTACCATCAGGCAATTTAAGTATGGTGTAGCTGAGGAGTGGATTCATTTGTTAGCTTGTACCTTTGCTTATTTCACAGTTGTTTATTAGCAGGCACTGATTGGAGATACAGTGATGGACAGGGTAGTGAGACTTTTGCCCTCAAGGGGCTGACATTCTAGGGGAGGAAATGGAAAATACACAAATTGAGAATGAATGGGAATGATAGTACATAAATAACATAAATCACTAACAATTTTGCTTTATGAAGAAAACCAACCACTGAAACCCAGGCATTTTGTCCTCAGGTCCTATAGCTATAATCAGTGCTTCTGTCCTAAGGGATGGTGGGGAGAGGGGTAGCATTCACTCTGCCACAGTTCCCTCCCCTCCCTCTACTCATGAAAGCTTTGATTTATCTGAGTGTGTGGGGCCTGAGCTGGACACACGGGAACGCCCCACAATGGTTAGTTCACACTGATATCCTGCCAGAGTAGCTAGAATCAGATCCTTCACTCTTTTCTTCTTGTCCTCCCTTTCTTTCATCTTGCTGCCTTTCTTTTACTCCCAACATTTAGTACTCCCATCAATTTATTTAATAAAGGTTCAGAAATGCCTACTGTGTGCCAGGCACTGTGCTGTGTGTTGGAGTCACATGGAGATAAATCCTTTACAGTCCCAGAAATGTAAATAAATAAGGACATGATGTTTCAAACACAGTCCCCATGTGGAGGCACCCAGCTCCCTCGGGGAAGGGAAGGAAGCAGGTCCCAGGAGCCAGCTCTCCAGCTGACTGTGAATGATAACAGGACTCCTTTCTAAACTCAGCCCAGGCTCCTTAGACCCCAATCTTTTGTAGGTAAATCCATCCTTTCTTGGGCTCCTAAGAAAGTCCAAGCCATGAGATTCCTCATCAACATGTGGATAGTGTAAGAGACTTAAAAATCATTTCTGGATAAAGTCAATCAATTTGAACTTCATCTCTGGAACAGTATCCCCAGGTGGCTTTCATATTTGATTGGTCAATACCTGTGTGCCTCTAATTCCATTGAATGTGTGTGTGCGTGTGTGTGTGTGTGTGTGTGTGTGTGTGTGTAAACTTTGCTAATACTGTATTAGGTAAAGCAAATATTGTGGATTAGTATTCTGGAGGTGTGGTACAATGTGGTACAATGATTCGCAAATTTGTCAAAAGATTCTATTCCTTGTAGAACGTGATTTAGAATACCATTGGTAACTTCATACAACAGAGGAATATCATAATTGTTTTTAAAGAAAATGGCATATGGACAATGCTTGGAGAAAGGAATTTCCTGAGGAACATTCAAAGACCACTAATAAAAATTTTATAGCTTCTTATACCTTATGATATAAAAATAGTACCATAGTAGGAAACTAGTTTTAAAAAAAACAGTAATAGAAAAACCTGGATAATTGCTTTTATATAACTCATTCAATGCATTTAATAAAGATATATATTTTGAGCCTATTATATGCCACTTGGGAAAATGCAGAGTATAAATATATATGAAAAGTCTCTGCCCTCAGTTATTACCTAGAGAGATAAGACCTAAATTTGTATAACTATAATCAATATGATACTATTTCCAAATTGGAAAGATGACATATTGTTGTACTAATTGAAAGTTTAGCAAAAGATCGAAGGAATTTTAAATTCATATTAGTGTCTTTAAAATTTGGGAGCCTGGAAATATTCTTAACATTTTTATTTTGTTTCTGAAATTTATCTTTGACACTCTGAACTTATTTGTGTTTTGAAAATTCTGGCCTAAAGAAAAGGAAAAGGGAAAGGGAAAATGGGAGTCAATAAAGGTCAAGAAAGGAAATGCTTGGGAAGGGGAAGTAGCTTTAATGTTTGAATTGGGATGAGCTTTGATAATCCAGTGAGAGAGCTTGAGCTGCATTATCCCTTACATAATGGAAATGCCTAATGATTTTCTGAGAAGAAGAATGGAATAATAAAGGGAGGCTTTGATAGGGTTCACCTAGAAATGGGGTAGGATGACTATGATGTTCTAGCCTGGCTCCCTTAGCTTTGTAGGGGCAGTATTTTAATCTCTTATTTATTGCTATCTTCTCAGGACAGTTCTTGGCACAGAATAATCACTTAAAAGTACTTCTTTAATGAACAGGTACACGAATGGACAAATGCATAAATGAATGAATGAAAGGCAAATAGCAATAACTACCCATGTGCCACGTGTGCCATATTTCTCCTCCATTACTTGCAACAGTGCTGGGCTTGAGGAAATCTTGGGAGAATGGTTAAGTGACAGCTAACATTGGCTACTTTTTCAATCACAACAACAAATCATGCAGGTCAGGGATAAGAAAGAAAAGCTGATTTTTAAACAAAAATTGAAAGAGAATCAGGTCTACCATTGCTTGCCCTGCTAGCGTCCCTAAGAACAGATATCTGACTCAGAGGGTGGGCATTAAAGTCGTGTTAGTTGTGATCACATACTTTCAGGAAACTGTCAAGCACCAGTTCTGAGGAGCTATCTGAGTTTACACAGAATCAGCAAGATGCACTCTTCTTCAGGAGAAAGCATACCTGTTACGAAGACACCACTGCCGCATGTGGAGAACACCATGCCCTGGAAGTCCCACAGCTTGGAAGACTATCGGAAACATGTGCTTTTCTGTGGCACAGAAGTGATCCAAGTCAAGCCCTCTGGGCAGGGGCCTGTAAGAGCTGTTGTTTTGCAGACAGGTTAGTGGATGTCACTTCTGAAAATTTAGCTTATGCCTGAAGGTGGAGAGAGGTGGATTAGGGAAAAATTGTTTATTTTTTAGGATTTTGGAATTTATCAATTCTGGTAATAGCATTTGCATTCTTTTAAAAAAAATTTTATGTATTGGTACATTTTAGGTATAACATGTAATGACACTCATCATTGGAAATTTGCACCTTTACATAATCTCTCTTGGTTCTTAATTTTCCCCCTTCCCCTGCCCTCCCTTCAACCCCTCCATCCCTCCCTATTTACAAAGACTTTGTTCCCATTTCTCATTTTCTCATATTAATTCCA